CACGTATGGTGACAAAATATCATCAATATTACTTCTATCACGTTCGGGAGCCCGTCTCCTCAGTATAGCATGCCCCGTAGGCCAAGGTCAATGCAGGACTCGAAGGTTGTGCATGTGTGTTGCGCTCTATTCAATCCATCATCCTGCATGATGCACAATGATGGCTCTCTAGCCAATCCTGCCATTCATATCCTATCCCGAACGCGCTCCGAACAGCCCCAAACACGCGTATGCGTACAGCGCATGGGAACAAGTTTGAAGTTGTAGGGCGGCGATACACGGTTGTATAGTTGGGGACGCAACTTCATGTCAAGTCGCAATTTTGCGATTTTTAGTGTGGAACCATGGCCAAACACTTTCATTTAGCCAAGTTTAGGCTAAATCTCGCATTTCCAGGGAAAAGGACGGATTACGTAAGCAAACAGCGAAATCGCCCTCCAGGACCGGGTCTGGCAAACATCGGAAGGGGGCACAAGTAGATACATAGCACTGTTGTATTGCAAATATTACCTAATGAAGACTTTGTCCAACCGTCAGCTTGGTCTGTTTTACCTCCCACTCCGCTTGGGCTTGGTCAATATCCTTCTGCATAACACCTCTATGGCCTCGATACCTTTTGGCAGCAAATTCTGCAACTACCCCTGTTGCCCCAAGGTGATAGATGCTGAGGTATCGCGAGGCTCGGCGAAAGAAGCGGCGGATGGTTATGAGGGGACACATGTCAACTGCTTCCTGAAGAAGCCGCTTGCCGCGTTCAAAGTTGCCATTGGAGCGCTCCCGAAAGTAATTCTTGCACCAGCCCCAGTAATATTCAATGGGGTTTAGCTCCGGATGGAATTTCGGCAGGAAATGGCACTGATTGCCGGCCTCCTCAACAACCTGCACAAGTTCTGTGAGCGACTTGTGGGAACCAAAATAAATAAATAAAGGTAACCTTCTGAAGGAGACACAGCTCATTCTGGAAGTCTTCTTGGAGCTCGAGAATGCGAAGAAGGCAGCAATCGGAAGGACGGGACTCATCCTCTGAGTCGTTGACAAGGTCCTCGCAATCAGCAAGGTCCATCTCCTCCGGAGATAAGGCAAGCTTTGGCTTTCTGGCCCTTTTGGCCTTGCATAGCTTGCAATCGCCAACTAGCTTAGTGCCAGGTTTAATATATCCACATTCTTCGAGAATAATACGCATTCCTTTAGGTTTACCTTCAAACTTTTTATAAGGATGATTATCGGGAATGTGCGCAGGGAACTGCATTGATTGAAGCTCCCCCCCATGTCCATGAGGGTTGCCTAAAGGGATGATTGTGTCGTGCATGTGTCGGACACGGCCTCCTGGCCCAACATTCATCTCGCGTGCATTGAGAGCACCAGGGGCTCGGCTGTCGTGACATGAAGAGTTGTCAAACACCCAGTGGATTACCGCATTTGGAAAAAGCCGACGTGCAATTAAGATTGCATGCCGAAGCTGAAAACAATATGGTTTGATGAAGAATTCAATATTAAAACATGCCTGCTCACCTGCGTAATCATTTGCTGAGTATTCCAGTAAGTGTCACCACCGTCTTTATTAGAGGGAAAAATCGTGACACCAGAGTCCGTCTTTGTGAGACGTTCACCTTCTGGAAGCCGTGCATTTGCTTCCACCATTTCTGGAGGGAGTGCTAAATTACCATAACGTGCGCAGATGTATCCTGATCGGTGCATGAGCCGACCACGTGTCTTCTTTTTGAGGACTTGCTCTCCGTGTTTGAGATAATAGCCTTGTCCCTGAAAGTCATTATCGTGGAACGTGCTTTCATCTTGGTAAATAAACACGTGCTCCACCTCCCCTTCCGCAAGATTAGGTGGGACTTCTTTCATCTCCGGACCTTCATACATTGCCATGTAACTTTATGAAATAATTAGGTAATTAAATATGCATAATCCAATAGATTTAGCTTACGGTTCAAGGGATTTCAATAAATCACAAAACTCCTGGCGATGTTTTCGGACATCCTTGCGCTCGTGACCATCCCAATAAACTCCTTTCTGGTGGGACTTTAGTCGATAGCCCAAACGGTAAAGCCAACGTCTAGCTTGACGCTTAGAGATCGAAGTTTTACGGAGCTTGAGTGAGGGAAACAAATGTTCATTCACATGATGCTGCAGAAGCGTGGGGGTCACCTGTGCAAACCCTTGATTAGCTTGCTCCTGTCCATCATCACTGTGCATCCTTACTGTTCCAGGTGCGAGTGTCCGCAAAAAGCTCTTGACACCGAGACTGAAGGCTTCGTCATCCAATGCAGATTCCCCAGAGCCACTGGAGCCAGATGGCCGCTTCCCTTGTTGACCTGGCTTCAAGCTCCCCATTGCCTCAAAATGTCGAGCATGTGCATTCAAGACGCGTGCAAATGCTGGTCCTCGCCCAAGATTCCGAGCCACTCGAAGAGATCCTCGGAGCCTCCCTTGCCTGGGAGCAAAGCGATAGAGTTGAACTAACGAGGCAAAGACCACCTCATCTCGGTAAGACTTCCTTTTCCGTGCATTCTTCAATCCCTCCTCTGCTAACGCTTGCAGTTCCTCCCAAGTCTTTGGCTCCCCTTCATCCAGCACTCCTTCGACAAACTCAGCAATTCCGTCTGCGACCTCAACCTCCTGCTCATCAGAGGGTGAAGATGGAGCAGCAGATCCGACATGGGTGAGTGACTCTTCATCTTGGTCTGAGTCAATCGACATAATGACTGGCCCGTTCTCGGAGACAGGAAGAGGGTGTGCCAGTGGCATATCTGAGTTATCCTCAATCTCGACAACCCCAACACACCCCTGGCGAAGAGTGCGGAGTCCAGATGATGGGGTGGAGGGCTTGGGACCAAAAAACGAGGCAAGGTTCGTGTTTTCACGGGGTTTCTTCTTCTCTAACGCGTTCACAGCTTCCACCTCCTTCTGAAAGCGCCCCTCATCCAATTCACCACTCTCCTTTTTGTCCCGAGCTGCCTTTCTCAGCTCCCTTGCTCTCCTTGCTGATAAGCCACCAACCCCATAAGGCCCCCTCGCTTTTCCTGTCTTGTCCCTGGCCCCACCCGGCTTGTCGATTGGTCCATCAAACTTCAGCTCGGCACCTCGCATTGAACCCACAGTCACTGAAATGCGGCTGTGCTCAAGGACCTCCAGGGCTTTGGCTTTGGTTGCTGCTGAGATCCATGTTGATGGAGATGGAATGGATGCATATTCGTCATCTGAGCCTGAGTCTGACTGTGAGTCTGAGATGTAACCAGGATCTTCATGTTCGTCATCTGCCTCTAAGTCCCAGTCACTGGAGTCCTGGTGGCCGCTTTCAGAGATGTCTGAGTGATCAATATGAGGTTTTTTGTTTGATATGAACTTCCCACTAGACCCATGTTCGCGTTTTGAGCCCTTCTTGCGGGGTGCCATGGTTGCATAGGGCGTCAGCGACCGGAAACTGACATACGCACGTGATTACATAAGCCATTGGTGCCGAGAACGGCGAAATTGGTTGGGGTCAGATCTCGAGGTCACAATAATAAAATTCTAATCCACCCAAACGATAGAGGATACAAAGATGTATTACCCCGTGCATTATGAATTACAAGAAAAGTAGTTTGGTAGTGTTATGAGCCAAACAAGATTGGGGTCCGGGACTTGTCAC